AGGTGTTGATTTAAGCTCTTGATACAGTCTGTGCACAAGGGTCCCAGTGTAAAGCCTGCTCAAAGGAAGGAGAGAATCTTCATTTAGAATTGCATTTTGACAGGTACAGAAACATGTTGCTTAATGAAACAACACAAATGCATACAGTATCCAACAGTCAAGCCTAAGGGACACCTATGCTACATTTTTCTCTGTATTAATTGCTTTAAAGAAGGGAGTTCAAATGTAGGACAACTGGCCAAAGGAGTTTGACACAAAATAAAACAACATGTGAACATATTCCATCAGGGGTTATGTGGAAAGCAGATCTCTGAAACATCCTTACCTACTTAGGTCTGGTTCAGAGAGAGGAGTGCAAAGTAGCTGGTTGAGATACAATCCCATCTGAAGACAGCACTGCCACTGGCAAAAACTGTGTGCAGCATCTAAATCAAAGTCGTTATTTTGCAATTTCTTTTGCTTCCATTTTAGAAATTCGTTATATGCAATACTGTCATCTTCAGCACGTAAGACTGTGGGATATAGGTTATAAATAAAAAATGACATGGAAATAAATGTTCTGCTGTGAACAGTACAAAAGATATCTGCTATGTATAGGGTCTTCAAACCTCTGGTTCTAATTCAGGAAGCATTAGTAATGTTTTCAAATGGGTCAAACTTAATTTTAAGACATAACATTGTGTAAAAATTCAAGTATGAATATCCATGAGAATTGTGAAGTCAGGAATTCTGTTTGTTAGGTAATTTGCCAGACTGGGCTGTGAGGGGATCAAGTCTACCATTACCAAGGTTGGACTTGATTATCTCAGAGGTCTTTCCCAATCCAGTTGCAGCTGTAATTCTGTGTGATCAAATCCAAACAAGCTTCCCATCTCACTCCAACCCACTTGGAAACCTGTCAGCCTGGTTTCCATAAACTAGAACCTAAAGAAACTGCATAACCATAGCATGCATCATCTTTGCCATCAAATGAAGGACTGCTGGAGCACATGTCACCATAACTCTAATAGGCATAAATATTACTGAAGCAATTTCTGTGATAATTTAGTACTTTCAAATTTGCAATTCACAGGTAGATAAAGTGTACCCGGGCAACTCAGCATTATTAAGTACAGAGGATTTGAGAAAAACTCAGAGGAAAATAAAAAATGGAATGCTTCAATAGTAGGATGCACAAGGATGTTAAGCTTATTTTTTGTAACTTTTATATCTAAATTAATATTTAGTCCTAAGAAAAGCATTTATAAATGCAAATTAATTTTACAAGGTGGCAAAGTACTGTTTTACTTATATAAAATGTTATATTGAGGGTTAGCACTATTTCTCTGCACATATCAATGCGGAGAATGTGACACCTCAGGATATAGTGTAATTCAGTGCTAATTCATCTAAATTTGGACACCTCACCGTAAGCAGGAAAAATTAATTATGGTACAGATTTTTGTAGTAGCTGAACACCTGAAACTGTATTCTTTGGAGACATACCTGGATCATCGTTTATCCTGTGCAGTTCTCCAGATACTATCATTAGAAGTAAAGCCTTTAATTGATGCAACTTAACTTTTGGTTCTGAACAACGTATCCAGTAACATGTTACAGCAACAGGGAGTTGTAAGTGATTTGGGATAGATTCTAGGAAACTCATTTTCACTCCTAGAGTCTCTAGCAAAAGCATCTGACGGCATGACGTGGACATCTGAAAATAAATTTAAAAATTGGAGTGGAAAAATAAAGGTAAGAGACTTTATTTGTTGTGAGCAGTTTTCAAAAGGCAAATACATATCTGGTTAAACTAGCTAGCACTTCAGATTTTTGATAAAAAATATTTAAGTTTCATAGATATTCCGAACAGGAAATATTTTTTAAATATTACTTAAAACTTTAAAAACTACACCATTAAATGCCAGGTAGAAAGATAAAAGTAATCTTTTAGAATTGCATGAAGTGAGATTTTGAGAGGTTTCAAAGTCTTCATATCTTTATATATTCCATATATTCCATAACTGTTTGGAAATCTTGTAACCATAATGCATTAAAATTATGGAAAACATACATACATATATATATATATAAAACCTTCATTCTTAGAAGTTATCCTTGCATTGTAAGATGTAATGGTGATCTCTGTTCTTAATATGTTGAAAACATGCTTACCTATAATCACAGTGAAATCTAAGTGTGAAGCTTGCATTTTTCACCTGCAGCGTATTAATTCCTAGCACATGTTCCCTCTTTGTTGTGCAATTTAACTTCTGGAAGTTAAATGTTATAAACTGTGCCCCTAACTTCATGCATGCAGTAGAATCGCAGCAGGCTGTTCAATTATAATTCAAATGCTTTGTAAACCTTGATCAGGATTGTTTTGCCTACTCTCAGGCAGACATCCCCATGGCAGAAGAGAAACTGAAGTCAGTTTTGTCTAGAGCACTTTCAATGCAGAATAACATTTCTTCTTTTAACCTTCTGTTCAATTGATAATTTCCATATATTTAGTAAGGAAAGCTGTAATAGCAGAAGCTCAAATCCATTAAACAAACAGCACACATACCAAGGTCAACGTAAGGTGTCATTAATGTCTCTTATAATCCCAATACATGATTTTTCAAAACCTTAAGTGTTGCATAATGCTCGTTTAAAAGGCCTGTACCAATAACCTGCATAAAATAACCTGTATGTAGGCCTTTGGATCCATAGCTGTCTGTAGCATTTAATGGGCGTAGCAGTGATAGTCTCGGTTCCTTTACAAAATAGCCACCAGCAAGTGATAAAAACATCCAGCACTGGCCACACACAGAAACGTGTTATAACAGTTGATCTGAACACCAGAATGGATAGAGCATGTGGCTTAACTATGCAGAATTAAAAGACACAGACTGTATTTCTACATGTTGCAGAAATTACTGCATACAAAACCTATTATGCAACTTTGGGAACGGGAGATTACTTTCCAACATGGCAAGAATTACAGTCTTAATCGTTAGAATTTAAATATACAGAATTCCTACTGGTGATGGGAACTAGCCTAGTACAGCTTTCCTTTGGTTCCAGCTGTTTTTCAGGTGCTCTTCTGCTCTGTCTGGCAAGCAGTAGGGGTTCACTTTAGCAGGAGCATACCTGGGGCAGGTAAAACTGCTGGGCAGCTGCTAGATGCACACATGAAATAATGATGATTTTTAGAAAAAGGCATGGGTCAGATTTTGTTTCAGAACATTGCTCTGACACATCCATAGCTTGATCAAATACAAAGTAAGTTTTGTAGTGTTAAATTGGACTTTTCTAAGTGACATGAAACTGAGTTCCTTCCTATCATTATAAAAGCAAGTATTAGTGTAACAAAATCCATAGGATGAAATAAAGGCCTAGAATAGAAAATTTAGGGAGTACTACATATACAAACAGTAACTTTTCATATCATTTATCTTGGTACACTTGAAGGGAGGCAGGAAGAGGAGATAAAGACAATCTATGTAGCTTCTTAAATATCACAGGTACCTCTGTAGGAAGTAGTTACTTACTGAGGTGGCTTAGTTCAGACATCACATTTAGCGACCAGCTGGCAAACATGAGTCCCAACTACTTTTGTCACTCGTGAAACACTGTTAACCGTGATCTGTTGTGACAACCATTTACCTCTATTAACTTGTCCAAAGGAAAACGATCATCACAAAAATCTGTGGGTAGGCTTGCTGCTTGAACAAATGTTTTTTTAATTGTCTTTTGGCATCTGTCAAATTCACATACAACGGGCAGCTCGTGGGTCTGCTTATTTGAAGAAGCAGCTTCATTATTTTGACATACCCTCAGGAGCAGTCCATAGATAACTTGTCGGATGGGCAAAGCTGCGCTATGAGCGCTCGGTCTCTGCATGTTCTCCACCTGAACGCGGAGGAAGGTACTTCTTAGTATCAGGGCATTGATGATGAATGGGGCCAGCTTACCTTTTGCCAAAGCATCAAGTACCCACTGTGGTACGTCTGCTTTCCTGGCAGCCTCGCATTCGTACCTTCCATTCTGAAAGAAGTTTTCAAGATTCACATCAGACGGAGTGTAATCCTCCATTGAAGTGCACAGAAGCTCCCTTATTTCTTCCCTCTGATGTTTCTTAAGGTATTTCAGCACATTCTCGACGGCCTCGGTGGGCTCTGCAAACTGCGACAGCCAGTTCAGGAGCCCCTGGAGGCGGAGGTGCTTCCCGCCCTTCCCCGCCGCGCAGCCCCTCGGCAGACGGACCTTGCTGAAGAACGCCTCCAGAGCTGCCAGGTCCATGTAGTCGTTCCCGTTCATGACGGCGAAGAGTGGGAGCAGGCTCTTGTTCAGGCGGCCGAAGTGCCTGCAGAACCGGTCCACGGAGTAGCAGCGCGCGGGCACGTAGCATCCCTGCGGCCCCTCCCCGGCGCACACGCTCTCCCACTGGAAGTGGGACAGCGGGCAGTACCCGCCTGCCAGGTCGAAGACGCAGAAGTCGCTGTCGAGGGAGAGGACGGGGCAGCCCCAGCTGTTGGCCAGCGTGGCGATCTCCCGGTCGGCCTCGGCGAAGCACTGCACGAAGGGCACGCCGAGCCGGCCCAGCGCCTGCACGAAGGCTTCGCGGGTCAGCAGCGGCGCCAGGCAGCCGCCGGCCCCGCGGGACAGCCCGTGCGCCGCCCGCAGCTGCTCGGCGGCGCGGCCCCGCAGCGTGGGCAGCTTCCTGTCCTCGGCGCCGCGCCCGCCGTCCAGCACCACGAACGGGGCGACGCGGCAGGACCGCAGGATGCCGAAGAAGTCGCGCACGGCCGCGGCGAAGGCGCCGTAGTCGCCGCCGCGTCGGAAGTCGGCGGCGGGGGCGAAGCAGAGGCGGTGGTAGAGGCTGCTGCCGTCGATGACCAGCTTGGTGTCCCGCACCCGCAGCTCGGTGAAGAACACGCCGCGCTCCTCCACGAAGCCCGTCAGACCCTGGACGCCCATTGCGCCGGAAGCGGTGCAAGACCGACACGCGCAGCCCTCCGCTCCCAGATCCGCTTCCTTTTCCTCTCTCTTCCCGCCCGGCCGCTCTCGGGCGCGTGCGCGCCGTCTCCTAGCGACGGAGCCGCAAACACAGCTCTCCGCACCGGGAGAGGGGCGGGGCGGGGCGGGGTGGGGGTGTTCTGTGTCTCCGGCGATCTGCCTGTCCCGAGGCGGCCCGAAAGGAGTCGGGGGACCCAGAGGGACCGTAGTCCCAGCCGTCGGGGCCGGGCGCTGAATCGGCAGGAAGCGGTGGGAAGGTGGGATACCTGCCCGTGGGTCCTGAGGAGTCCCACCTGTCCCGGAGGGGTGAGGAAAGGGGACGGAGTGAGGGCACGCCGCCGTCGCCCCTCTGTGTGAGGGGGGCCGGGCGACCCTCGGAACGTGCGTTTTGAGTCTTACACGGTTTTTTAACAAGGTAATAACATCTCTCAGGTTATCCTAGGGAATCTCGGCTTCCCGGATGTGCGTCAGATACTAAAAATCTTCTTTGATAGTCCAGTACATTTGACCTTGTTTTACCATCACCCTCAAGCTCCTTTGCTACTGGCACTACTAATAAAATCTTAATTATCCTTTCTCTGGATAAAAACCTGTCAGTTAAAAGCAAAGCCAAATGAAATGATGTTACTTTAGGCTTGGGTAAGTTTATAAAGATGTTGCCGAAAATAATAATGGAGTCAGGATTAAGAAGTGTTTTAGTTTGGTTTTGGGTTTTTTTGTTTTTTAATGAAAGAAAAAACAAGGAAAATCTGATTTTTTTTAATTTTCCAAAACATTTAAAGGAGCAGGCCAGTGAAGTCACTGGCAGGAAAAAATTCAAAGTAGTAAGTACTGAGACTATTTAGAGTTTAAATGTAAAAACTCTGGAATTTGTGCTGCAGGTGGTGGGAGTTGGCAAATGTTGATGTAGCATAGTGGTTCTTAAGGAATAAAAAGAAAACTGGATAGAACTGGAAAATGGCCTTGATTGGCAAAGAAGGGTTTATCTTGGAAGCAGAAATTGTCAGAGTATGTTAACTGTTGCTAAAGAAACCAGAAGGTTAATCTTTCATAAATAAACTAAGAAAGGGAAGAAGTTGAGGTGCTTTGTGCTTAGCATGCTTAGGTGAAACTATGAAACCCTAAACAACAACTTCCCTTTAGCTTGCAACACAAAAAGGAAGATTTAACTCTAGCCAAGGAAGAAAGTATTTTTAAAAAAAAGTGATCCAGAAAACGTCATTGCTTTATTTTGGTTGGTGTCAGCAGTCTGCCAGACTCTGGGATGGGACTTGGTGGTGGTGGGTGGGTGGGACAAAATTTAGAACATAAACTTTTTACCAGTGTTACTGAATAGGGTATACTGGGATTTTTGAGGAAAAGGGAGCTTAGGAGTTGATTTCTTTGAGTTATCTTCAGTTGTTCTGAACTTTAATGAAGCAATTGATGCTGCTGCTTGGGAAATACCTGCTCAGTGGGAGGAGATGGACACTGGTGGGAAATACAAGGAAGGTTGGGCTAAAGGTTTGAGTGAGGTAGGAGAGGCTACGGATACATGTACTTCTTGAAGTATCAGTCAGTCTTATGGTTGAGTCAGTCAATTGACTCATACAGGGTATTTCTTTTAATCCACCCTTTCTGTGCCACTGAAATGTGCCTGTCATGCCCCAATGGCAATCACTGTCTCCTGTCTTATAACACTATTCAGCAGTAGATATCAAAGCATTTCACAAAGTTACTATTATTATATAGAGAGGGGAATTGAAGCATAGAGTAGGTGGTGAGAGGCACAGAAGTTACATTCAATGGGCTACTTGATCTTAAGTGTGATATTGTGGTGTAAAGGATTGTGATATATTCCTAGGGCCCAAGGAAGTATGAAAATTAGAAGGTGAGCTGTGCCAAGTGACTCTTCTCTCGAAAAATAGGTATAGATAGCTCAGCAGTTTTTCTAAGTGTAGTTATTTCAAAAGGCATTTATGAAGGCATGCATAAAACAGCAACTAGGAAAATAGTAAATGAAAATATTATGTAAACTTCCTAGAACTGGCAATGTAATATTTTATGGAGTTCATCTTCCTGCCCTCTCCTTCTCCACACCTCAATGTTTATGTTTATGTTTCTTCAGACAGATTTCAGAGACAGCTGACATTCTTTCTTTAGCATTTGCATTTCAAAATTTTTGTCAGTGTCTGAAAGAGAATAAAGAAAAAATATTGGGAGTGCTTTAGTTCAAAAAACATACAGGATTTGCATTATTAATATGTCTTGTAGTAACTAAAGTTTATCTGTTTTATAGCATAGTGACAGTGCAATGTCAGGCTTCTGGGCACAGTGTGACAGCAGGTCAGCAGATGGGTATTAAAATAGGTTCTTACACATATACACGTACACACACTCAGAGTTTGTTGTTGCAAGATACAAATTTGTAATCTTAATTTAGGCTCTGCATTTGTTCGGAAGAGAAGCCGGTGACTTGGAACCTAAAGTTATATAACTTTTAAAATTAAACAATTTGTCTTTGTTCTTCCAAAATGATGAAAAAAAGGTGCATTTTTATGTGCTTGCCTTCACCTTAAAATGAAATGGTGAACAAGCCTAGCGTGGGCACGCTGCATTGGAGCTCAGGCAGCGCTGACAGATAGTAGTATTAACACTGATCTTGCAATATCTTTCTTTGTTCCAAAGGATCCTCAGGCATAAATGACTCAGGTAGCATTATATAAAGACAAGGTAATGAAAGCAATATTGTTGTATTATATGCAGTGAAACACCTACCCTTTATCATCTGCAATGAGGAAGGTTGAGTAAACAAAGTTACTCTAAACTCATGTTCAGTTATTGAAAACCATAGAAACACTAGAGGTTTGCCTTTGCAGTCCCTCTGTTTGTAGAATTAGGACTTCAATTAGACAAGAATTCCAAACCAAAGCTAGATTGTTAGAAAGGTGGGTCATGAAAGGACATGGCAGAGGAGAAATTAAGAACTTTTGGAAGGATTGGGTTATATTGAAAGTCTTGTAGGCTTGTAGCCACAAAACTCTAATTTGCAGAAGGTATCACTGAGTCACAGAGAAGCTGTGAGGTCAGCACTGAAACAGATGGTGAAATCTGAGGGATAAGTGAAAGAGCACTTGAAACAGCTTAGGAGTTGTTGATGGGAGAGAACTCAAATTATGGGTGGAGGTTATGCTTCAGTATATACAAAAATCTTGAAACTTTTATCCTGAAACACAGATATTTTTGGTGTCGGGTACTGTGGTGGTATAAAGACAGGTATTGAGGAAGAGTTGCCACATCTAGGGGAATTGTCAGGTGAAATACAGCTGTAGTTGTCATTGCAAAAAGCACTTGTGCTTTTCAATAAGCACCTGCATGTCATTTCCCCTACGTTATCAGTTCAGTGAGTTAATTTAAGGTTGTTTTAGAGGGAGCCTGACTATGTCACATCTACAGTATTTGTAGTTTGGTTATCAAGTCTGCTGCCCAGAGCTTAGCAGCTAGCAATTCTACTTAATTTGTGGTTTGGTGCCAGCTAAGCACTATAAGCGCTGCCATAGAATTAAATGACAAGTTTAGTAAGAGTAATACATTGACAAATCAATTTTTTTTCTGTTTCAAGTGATTTCTGTGAACATCCATAGAAAAGGGATTTGAAAGCTACATTCTAGAGAAATTTGTGTAGTTTTTGCTACACTGAGAAATGCTGAAATTTCAAGAAACTGCTAAGCACGTCGCTGTTGCCAGATTTAATTCTGCTTGCCAAGATGCAGTGATTGCAAGAAGATACACTATTCAGAGGAAACTTGGCAATGGGAGCTTTGGAAGTGTGTATTTGGTTTCTGACAGAAAAGCAAAACAAGGAGAAGAATTGTAAGTAAAGCCTTCACATGCTTTAAATAAAAATTTTGCAACATATTTCTTGCACTGTGGATGTTTTTCTTTGTATTTGTGTCTCATCTCTGTTTGGTGTTACACTGTTTAACTTTAGTGAGGATATAAGGTAAAAGCAGATTTTATGCTGACTCAACATTCCAACTCAATCTGGTTTTGTTTGATATAGTTTATCCAATCTATCTGTTTTACTGTGCTTTTATCTAAGCCCTTTTTCATTTGTTTTTGCATGGTGAGAGTGGAAATAGATAAAAAAAGTCAGACCCTTATCTCCATATTGATGTACACCTCTGAAGCTTTGTTAAAAAATAATAAAACTAGTAAAAATATATGTAACATACCTATTTCTCAGTGTCATACCTTGCACAGGTTGCTAATGTAAGATTAACTGCAGAGAAGACACTTGCGTTTACATAGAACCAAGGTAAATTTTATCACTGTCCTGACAAGAAGCAGGGCAAAGGTACATGCCCGTTTTCACAAAGTTGCTCTTCTTCTTTGTAACAAAACTGTTTGCTAAAGGCTTAAAGGTTTATAATTTATAAGTTATCATTTCCTAATTATGTGAATACATAAAATACATGTGTATAATATGATTGTATAGTTTATTTTTGAGGTCTTTGTAATTTATAAATGAACTCAGTTCTTGAAGTTCTTTTTTTTATAGAACACTTACGGATGTGCTGGGCATTTGCCTTTCATCCAATGCATATCTATCTTCATGAACATGATGTTTTTGTTTTTAATGCTTCAGAAATCAGCTGTTACTGCACGCATTCTTAGAATATTAACAGCGTAGTGAAATGTGGGTCTTCACACATTTGCTGCTATAGCACAAGCTGCCAAACCTCAAAACCAAGGAATGTGCACTTATCCTTTAAGTAGCTATTTCTATATTTTTTTTCTTAAGAATTTTGAGTGATTGTCTTGAGCAAACATTCACTACCTGCAGCCTTTCATGTCTGTGTTTTGTTAGGGATGAGCCTGAGTGTGTCCTCTGCTACCTTCAGGACAGAGACCGAATATCAAGTGACTTTTCTTTTTTTTTAAGTCAGTCTCTTTTTGTGACCCCAGTACAATATAAATACAACAGGATTTAACAAGCCCAATTGCTGGTGTGATGCTCTAGTTCAGCTATTGATCACTAGGTGGTGCTCGCGTATCACAGTTCATTCCTTCGGCGCCTCGAAAGTAGGATGGCGAGCGGATCCCCTCAAATTTCTATCACGTCTGTGCCAATAGATGGCACAAATACTGTCCCAGATGAACTTGAAAACGCAGGTAGCATAATGAGCTGGAGTGTAGTCACTTTCTTCTATTTGTAAATACTGGTTTTAGGTGGTAAATTATGATGGAAATCACATTCTCAGTACGACTTGCAAATCAGAAAATAATCTGTTATGGAACTGTATATTTACTGCTTCTGTTATATATATACTTTTGAATGAAAATTTAGGTGGCTATGGCTCTTACTCTTTAAAAAGAGCAAGTGCTTAATACAACTCTGAAGGCATTTTGACAGAACAAACCCCAAACAATGCAATTGTGACCTCAGCAGAATTAGAAGTCTATTTTTATTGTTTTGGTGATGATCTAGAACGTGTTGAGACAAATATTATGTGCAGCATGAACTCAGCCACAGATAGTTTCCTGAATATTGCTCTAATCTAAAGCACTGTGAATAGGAAGAAATAATAAGAATAGGAATAAATAATAAGGAAACAAATTCCCAAGAAAGGTGACATCTTGGATATTTGTACAGAAGCCATTCAGGGATATCTTTTCAGTTTTCCCTTAGTGCAATGTCTACAGAAGAAGCTAAGGCAGAGACTAACAATGGTTGTCATGTAATTTCATATATGCTGAGCAAAGCTTTTGCATGATTCTAGAAATAGTTTTGGGTCATGCCTTGTACTTTGCTACCCCTCTAGGATCATACCTGTAGTGAGTGAAGTGTTATCCATAGAGTTGCTTCATCTGGAAGGGAGAGACCGTTGATTTTTTGGGGCATGCCTCAAGTTAACAGACTTACTTCACATAAAACTCAGAGCTGCTCAGGCCAACAATGCTCACCTCTCTAAGAAGTACACGCCTGCTTCATGCTTATCTCCAGTTCTGTGTATGGATGGGATTATTGACTTCCCAACTGTCTAAGCCAAGAAAATCCCTAGTCATACAACACATCTTGTGTCATGGAACTGTGTTTTCCTTTAGAAAATAATTGTTACAAGTCCTTGCATATTCTCCAATGTGCTTGCTTAGTTTCTGATCCCGTGTAAGTTTAGTGAACAATAAGTTTTCTGTTTGTATTGATAGTATTTATGTTTCTCCAAGGTATATTTCCAAGTATTTTTAGGGCCATGAAGATGGTGAAGGGTCAAGAGGGGGAGTTGTATGAGGAGTGGCTGAGGTCACTTGGTTTGTTCAACCTGGAGGAGACTGAAGGGAGAACTCATTGCAGTCTACAACTTTTTTATGAGGGGAAGCAGAGGGGCAGACACTGATCTCTTTGCTGTGGTGACCAGTGACAGGACCTAACACCATGAAACTGTGTCATGGGAGGTTTGGATTGTATACTAGGAAAAGGGTCTTCCCTCAGAGAGTGGTTGAGCACTGGAAGAGGCTCCCTAGGGAAGTGGTCATAGCACCAAGCCTGCCAGAGTTCAAGAACTGTTTGGACAATGCTCCCAGATACATGGTGTGATTCTCGGGGCTATTCTGTGCAGAGCCAGGAGTTGCACAAGATGACCTTTGTGAGTCCCTTCCAGCTTAGGATATTCTATGATTCAGTATTATCCATGGTAGAGAGGGAGAAAACCAAACCAGTGATTAGTATTCTGGATTGAGATAGTGCCATTTTGGGGTTATTTCAGACTGGCTGTTAGACTTAGGGATTGCAATTACCTCATTTTGAGGTATCTGCTTAGTGTAGATGTGATTAATAACTTTTCTGAGTTTCATGACAATTTCCTAAAAAGAAAAGTGCAAGTTTTTCATTTCAGATTTATGACTAGGGAAGATGACTTCTGTCTTCCATGTTTGTGTAGTAGGTTATTCCTTCCACTGAACATCTTCTACGAGAGCTTTTGATCCTGTTGGGATGATTCTCATGGAATATGACAAAGGGTTAAATATCTCAGAAGTCCCTGCAACTTGAAAACAGGCAGCAGAGTAGAGACCAAAATCAATGTCCTCAAAAGAGAAGGGCCAGAACCTGGGAGGGTCTTCACTGTGAATGAAGTTTCTCATGTACTAGACAATCTACACAGGAGAGAGATTATCAATTTTCCCCAGTTTTGGAGGAAACTATAGTCAGAATTTATATCATCTTAGACCCTAAATTCAGTTAAATACAAGAGACACATCTGTACAAAAGCAAGCTTCTTAGTTCCAGTTTACACAGGATGCCTTGGTTTGTGTATTATTTGATATTTATTTGTTTCTGAACATCATGGACCTAGACCTACACAAAACAGTTAGATTACTTGATTTGTGTAGAGAAAGTAGCAGGATTGTACCAGCATTTTTACAACAAACAGTAGTCCCTGCAGGCGCTTCTATCCCAGTCCCCCCCCGAGTAGCTTATCAGCTAATTCTTACAGGTAATTATGGTTAAATCTTAAAGAGATTTAAGTTCAGCAGTAATCTTGAAGGACAGTGCCATCACTTAGAGATAATGAATGTCCTAATCAATTGTGCCAAGGGAAGCTCTGGGTTAAGTTTCGCTAATTCATAACCTTGTATGGGCAAGCAGCTGAAGTACACAGTAGGCAATAGGGACTTCTCGTTCATAAATATTCACAAGGTACTTAGGTGTCCCTGTGGTGGAAAGCACACGCTGACAAGTGCCAAACTCCCTGGACTGCTCTACTGTGTGGTAACTGTGGGGTGTCAGCTCAACTTCTGCATCTGACTTGCATTAGAGCATTAATCCAGACTCATGCTATGATTCCTTGGAAACTGTGCACTTAGCTGAATAATTCATCATGTGACTTTCAATTATTTATGACTTCTTATAACAAATGAAATAAAATCTAAAGGTGGAAGGGATTTGTAACTTATGAATATCCAAGCAACAATCAGCAGATTGCTGTGTTGTCAAATTCTTGTGTTTGCTGCCTGTTTGCTTCTCTGAAGGTATTCCAAGGGAATGGTCATTTGCTACTGAATTGATTAAAACAGTAGCAAATTACTCCCTGCCAGTTTGTCGTGTGCATGTTCATCTAATTGCACTGCTTTCCTTTTTTCTTCTCCCTCATTTAATAACAAAAACTAGAAATGAAAACTGGAATCCATCAGGACATCTTAGATTTGTAAATAGATATTCACGGTCTCCTTGAAAACTAATCAAAGGTGCATTTCCTGTAGGACCTTCTTTGATTGCTGCTAATTTTTAAATAAGCTTTTCTTAGCGAACCATCCCTTGCTCGCTTCAGTCACGTGTCCTGTGCTGCTTCGTGTAAGGTCAGCTGCTGTGCGTCAGCAGAGCTGCCATGGCTGCTGAGGTGTACAGTCATGCTTGGCCCCAAATAAGAGATGATAAAAGCATTGACAGAGAGGCCTTGTGGATTTAGCTAGAGCAGTTTGAGGAATTAGCCTTCATGAGATTTCCGCTTGAGTGGCCAAGCGTGACTTTCATATTCTGTGAGCAAAGCTAGGGGAGTCAAGAGCTAGAGCTAAGTGTCCAAGTCCTTGCTGAAACCTCTGTAACAGTGGCTGATGCACTTGTGTCTGATTTTAAGAGTACACATGCAAATGGAGGTTGCCAGGGAGTGAAACTGTAAATGTTTTGTTTCAAGATTAGCAGGCAGTTCTAGATATGGCCACAATTGTTTCAGATAATTTCTAGTACAGACCAATACTGGTTCAGAGACAAGTTTGATAACCCCAGATTCATCCAAAGCAGATCTCAGTGGAGACTGTGTGGGAAGGTGCTTTAGTCCCTACCTCCTGCATCACTGTCAGTGCCCAGCTTTTCC